AGCTGTTTGTGGACAATTACTATTGTAGAATAAAACTTGGCAACGTTGTGTGTGAATGTAACTGTGGTTGAGTTACGAGGAGGGGAAGAATGATGTAATACTCATCAGAACAACCTATAGCAGTGTTTCTCAACTTTGGAAAATTAAAGAGGGGTGGACTTCAACCCCAAAAATCCCCCAGCAACCCATGCTGGCTGGGGAATTCTGGGAGTTGAAGTCCACACATTTTCAAGTTGCTAAGGTTAAGAAACACTGACCGATAGCATGTAGGAGCAAGTGAGAAAGACGTTTTTTGGCTTTCAGTGGACATGAAGAATATGGTTTGTTCAGGAAGCAACTATAGTTTGGAGGCCTAACTATTGATGTTCCCTTGAAGTTAACAGAAAGGTTCTGAACTGATCTGTTTATACAAGTTTATATGTAGTTATACATGATCTTATTACTGTCCAGTATTCTGAATTTTGACATGGCCTTATGCCTAATTAATGCATCATCATCATCATCATCATTCATCTAGTTTTAAAAAATTCCCTTGGTCTGGCATCTGAAGGTTGCAGGCAGGGAACAGTTTGAATTTCCTGTAGCTAACAAATTGTCATGTTTAATGGCGAGAATGCATGGAGTGAAACAACTCCCATTCTCTCCTTAGGTAATCAACGAAAACGTTTGCTGAATTGCACTGAGAAAGCAAGTGTATTTCTCTGCGCAAAAGAGCATTTTCCCGCGTTTCTGACTTTGGAATTGTCTCCCACCAGCCTTCGTTCCTTTTTTATGCCTTTTTAATTGATGTATTTGAATTTCTTAGTCGCCCAACCCCAATGGACTCTTTGCCCAGCAACGTCTACATTTCCAATCGCTTTTAGCTGTTTGAAGTGGCTTCAGGGCCACCATCGGCGTGTCTGAGACTTTTTTATAACATGATTATCTCATTTTGGGTGGGTGGGAGCTCTGTGTGGGTCCAACGTATTTCTAGCCTCGATTGTTTAGGTGTCTGCGGTTTTTTTGCCTACAGCTTCCTGTTCCAAGTGGCTTTCATGGCGTCCGCCTCTGAGGAAGGACCGGTGGGGGGGGTCCCTTTCTTCATCGCAGTGTCCCTGGCCTCTGCCTGCCTTGTGGCTCTCTGCGCAGCCTGCAAAAGGTAAAGACGGGAGCAATCTTTGGCCAGGACCCCCATATTAGCTCAGCATCTGGGGACACCATACTGTAGAAGCGAACAGATGTGCTGTACCAAGACCTTGACCGTCTCTTGGCAGACGGGGCCTGCCCTATTTCCAACCCCCACATTTTTTTAGTCCTGCCAGGACTGCTCTGAGGGTGTTGGGTGATGGAATGAAGTCATCAGAGGAACAGGATGGAGCGTTTTTTGGTCCTTCCATTGTTTGGGGGGAGCTGGCAGCTTTTAAAGGTGGGTGTCCTCAATCTTGCAGAGACGGACACCTGGATTGTTAGATGGACAAGCAAATTAGAACATCACATTGCCCAAATTTCGGCTAATTTGGGCAGGGTGATCTTGGGAACTTCTAGGATCTATAAAGGGGACAGTCCACATGATTAAGTTGATTTGTTGGTTAGTCTCAGCAAAGGGAATACCTGCTTGATTTGTCTAGGCCCAGAAGCTCAACAGAGCTGGGTGTGGTTAATCTTCAGATGGGAGGCCACAAGGAAATCCAAGGATTGGAGGTTAGTTGAAAAAATACTCTGGAAGGCTGGCAGCACTACCAAGAAATCTGCATAGATATTCATGAAGTCACCAGCTCAAATTTGATGGGGATTTGTTTGTTAACACTTGTCTCTGTTCATGTTAAATTAACATTTAAGAACTACCTCTGGAATCCAGGAAGAAATGCAGTGGGCCAATTAGGTTATTGGTGCCTGAAGCAGAATAGCAAAACACCATCTTATCTGTGCCTCCCCCCTCCACCACAAAAATAATATTAAAATAAGGATGCACAACTTGGGGTATTTCCAAAAACAGCGACGCCAAGAGAGAGAGGCGGGCAGAGCCAAGACAAGTCAACATTTCTCTTCATTTAATTGACATTTAGATATATTTATAATCAAACTTGGTCACATTCAAGTAGCATGTCGATGGCCCATGCTTTTAATAATATTAAAACCTATATCAAACATTGTATTCTGCCTAGATAGGTGAACCACTAAAAATTATAATTTGATGGCCACTTTGGAACTTTTTTGATCCTGTCTGGAGCATCTCCATCCAAGATAGACAGAGTCAATGAAACTCTGACTTCCTACTTTTTAATTCTCGTAAGGCGAGTACAGCAAATTCATTACTTTCCAAATGTTACTACCCCACAACTCCCAGCATCTATAGCCCTGGACTGGCTAGCTGGGGCTTCTGCCTCCCAACCCTTAAATCCAAAGACAGAAGCCCTCAAATCCTCAAACTGAACTGTAACTAAATATGATTTATTTTCTTCTTTCTGTAAAGTCCCTAAAGATAATTCTATCCAATAAGCTTCGAATAGTTCAGTGTTCGTATAGTTCAGTGTTTTCGCTTCATATAGTTCAGTGTTTTCCAAACTTGGCCACTTTAAAATAGGTGGACTTCAGCTCCCAGAATTCCCCAGCCAGCATGCTGGCTGGGGAATTCTGGGAGTTGAAGTCCACACATCTTAGAATTGCTGAGGTTGAGAAACACTGGGCTAGAGAATGCCCAGATGAGGGAAAACTGTTTTGAATCTTGTGAATGTAGAGTCGTGATGTCAACTTGAGTTGAGTAGATATTCCAGTGTGGTTTTCTGCGCTACCATAACAAAACTCAAACCATTTCAGTGATTAAACTTGCCAGGAATTAATTCTGCCTTTTTTGTGTTACTTAGGAAAGATAAGAGCAACCTGTCTTCCCAGGATGATGACCATGAGTTATTTGATGAAGCTGTGAGTGCCCTTCTTCTCCTATTACATTCTCCTGGTGTTCATGGGGACTAGAACCCCCATTAGTAAAATGCCCATCACCTTTGAGGCCTGCCGGTCTCTGTCCTTGTCCTGTTTTCCGTGTGACAGACAAACAGAGGGCTTTTGAATGAGGAAATATAGGAAACAGAATAAATGGGGACAGCTGTTGCAAGGCACAGCACCAGCCTCTGACATGGCCTTTATTCACAAGAATGCCTCTGGACCCCTCCTGGTCTTCATAGGCCGGCTTAGAAAATAAAGTGGGGAGGGGGGCTGCAGTCTTGCTTGAAGCATGTCCCGTTCCCCAGGCAAAAGTAATCTGAGTAGTCCAGCTGGGAAAGGGCTGGACTGGCAGCGGGGAGATCTGGATTCTAGTCCCTCTAATGCTTCAGATGCTTATGTGACAATTTTATTTACCAGCTGTTATACACAACCTCACAGTTGTTGCTGTAGAGAAAATCTGAGAAAGGAGTGATCTCTATCTATCATCTGTCTGTCTGTCTGTCTATCTATCTATTATCTATCTATCATCTATCTGCCTCTATCTATCTATCTATCTATCTATCTATCTATCTATCTATCTATCTATCTATCTATCTATCTATCATCTATCTAGCCATCCATCCATCCATCCATCCCCCTCTCAGCTCAGAGACAGCCTGGTCTAGTGGAGAAGGTGCTGGACTAGGAGTGGGGAGATCTGGGTTCTAATCCTCCCTTAGGCATAGAAGCTAACTCTGGAGAAATTTGGGCCAGCCACTCTCCCTCCCTGGCCAGCCTACCCCACAGGGTTGTTGCTGTAGAGGAAGATAGGAGGAGGAAGCACCCCAGAGAGCCTGAGTCCACAGAATTGCTGGCCCTGAAAGACTGCCTTTGGGGTTCCTGCTCGTGAACTTCGCGTCACCGGCTGTCCCGGTCATTTTGCAGGCTGGGCTGAGACGGATGGTGCCCTTGGCATTTGGAGGATCGGTTCCCAGTCTGCGGCACGTCAGTGGGAGAGATTCAGGGGACGCAAGTAAGTGGCTGCACGTTGTCCCATCGGAATCTGGTTCAGTTGGGGGGGAAAAGGGTGGGAGGCGGGTTGGAATTCGAAGAGCATCTATGGAGCTCCCCAAGCTAGTTTCTCTGTGAAATGGGAGCCCCAAGTCGGGTGCCCTCCCACCTTGTTGGAGTCATGACTTTTTCGACCACATCCTGTGGACACCCCTGCAGAGTCTAAAACAACCCCTTTTTGGCTGACGGGAGCTCACCCACCGATCTGCCCTGCCAGAGAGTCACAGAAAAGAGGCACACATCCTGTAGATTCGATTTTTGGCTGTAAAGTTATGTATTTTTGCTTAATTTTATTGCCGTTTGCTGCCCTGGACAAGATTAGGGCTGGTTACAACTGTGGTAAATAACCAACAAGGGGCACAATATTTGTTCACTTTTCCCCACCTTGGGCGAGTTTCAGAGGCAAGATCTTCTGTAAGGCGTCTCTTGATCTGGGGAGAGGCTGACGGACTGCTGTGGGGCAGATGTGTGCGACAGGTTCAAGCTCCCCACTCCTGGTCCAGAAATTAGCAAAACAGGGCTTGGAAAGCATATGCTCGTGCTTTGCGGGGAAGATATACCTCTATGAATGAGTCGAAACAAGTTTCAGGGGCTCTGACTACATTTTTTAAGAGGGGAAGTGGCTGAGAAACACAGTCAGCAGGGTGAAGATGGAAATGGGTTTGCCCCTGAGCCTTTTCCTGGGGGGTGAGGGGGGAGTCTTTCTTTTTAAAACTCCGATAAGTTTCTTTTATAATTGTTGTGGGTTTCCTGTCTCTCAGTAGCCAGTCATTGTACTGCAAATTTTGGACGATCAGAAAGGACTCCAGAAAAAGGAAAACAGGTTCTTGGACCTCAAACCAGGTCTTAGATTGCTCTTTTAAGACACCCTGAGACACTTTTTAGGCACCCCAAAAATGCTTGCCCTGGACGACCACTGTACTTTCCTCCTCCAGACCAAAGACCAGCCTCGCTGGCTCTTCCTTGCCCGTTGAGCGAAGATGACGGCACGGTGCCCAGTTGCAGTTTCATCATCCTTCCTCAGAGGGACCTGCCCACGGTCCCGCCTTCTCAGGAGGAGACTTACTCCAACCTGAACTTCCCGAAACGAGGCGAGGAGATGCTGTGCGAATCCAAGAGAGTGGAGGGAGAAGAAAGGAAGAACTGCCATCCTGGGGCAGAGAAGTTGGTGGAGGATGCCCCGGGCCACCAGGAGCAGGCAGCTGGACCCAGCTACGCACGTGTTGTGAAGAGGAAGGCGAATGGCAAGCAACGCTGGGTGGACATGGGGAATCCTCAAGAGACCTCTCTCCTCCCAGGCGTGGGGCTGTCTCCACCCACAAAAGGGGTAGGAGAAGTTTTTAAGTTGTCTTCAAGAGGATCGTTCTTGTTCTGTTCAGGCCATGGTTTCCGTTGCGGTTGAACTAAGCCTGTGGGATGAAAGGATGGGGGGGGGTCTTCGATCTCCTCTCCTAAAAACCCTCTAAGTATATCCTCCCTGACCATATTTTCCTGCCAGGTCCCTTGGCAGTTATTGGCATGGCCTCCTATTTGAGAAAAATTCCTCTTCCTGGCATCTTCCCCCTTAACTCCAGCGGGTGAAAGAGAGAGGGTCCCCAGCCTATGCACATTACTGGCCAATAAAAAAGGGGTAAAAAGGGTCAAAAAATATATACACGCCCCCTTAGCATGAGACAGACGAGGAGAGAAATTAGCCCCCTGTTCCTCTGGAGAGAGGTCAATCTCACGAGGGATCAATAAAACTATTTTTTTAGAAAGGGAAAAGCATGTAAACATTCCTTCGGTTGCTTTAAATGATCTCCTGTAAAACATTGGGTGGCCAAGGAGAAATAGGTACAGGACTAGTCAAAATGCAATCCCCCCCCCCAACTTTTCAGGACGATTCTGGTTCTAGTCAAGCAAACGACAATGCTGGTTTACCCCCATCAGTAAAAAAATTCCAAGTTGCACATAATTTACCAAGCATGTCGAAAGATCATACAGCTGAGAAGCCATAATCACCCAGAATCCATAAAGTAGACTTAAATGCACATCAAATAAAGCAGTGTTTCTCAACCTTGACAACTTTAAGATGTGTGGAGTTCAACTCCCAGAATTCCCCAGCCAGAACTCCACACATCTTAAAGTTGCTGAGGTTGAGAAACACTGAAATAAGGCATAAAACCTTCCCATAGATATCTAGCTCAGCTGATTTACCTCTTTTGAATGCTGGGGAGTATCACCAAGCTTCATCAAGGCTCCACCCCAATCTCTTTTCATCTTAGTTTGTTAGCTGTTTGGCTGCTTCTTCCTACAGCTTGGGATAGGTTGAAGGGTTAGATGAACCGGTCTCCCAAAGCTGGATTTTCTAGAACCTGGTGGAGATAACACCTTGGTGCATAGATCTCCAGCTGGTTGTCTCTGGGTACAGGGTGAACGTTGGCAACGGAACCTGCAGCTTACGGTCTTTGCAGGTCATCAGATCCCCGGTTGCGTTGTCCCCATTGGGTGACATCAGAGTGCGACGTCAGGAGGGGTGGTGGTGTGGCCGGTTGAGGTCTACGCTGGAAGATATAATCTGAACGGGGCTGAAAACCAATCATTAGAGACAATGAAAGAGGGTGACCTGGAATGTCCTAAGCACACTCTAAGGACAGACCTGCAGCAGGTCTTCTGCTCAACCAGGTATGGACAACCTTCTTATGACTGGAAGGGTGGGCTTCCCACAAAAGTCCACTGCCGTTGGGCGGCCATCATCTTCATCACCACCACCACCACCACCCTCATCATCATCCCTGAGCAGTGAATGAGGCACCACAATGATGTTATAATGTCATGGGGCTGAAATACCCTGCCTCTTCTGCTTAACACATCTATTTTACTCTCTCTTTTTCCCAAAAGCAAACGCTTGCTGCTGTCCCAATGAGCGTAAGATTGCCTGGGCATGCTCCAGCCGTGTTGGCTCCAGAATTCCCAGCCATGACCCTGCTGGCTGGAGAATGCTGGGAACTGGAGTCCGTGCATCTGGATAGCAGCCAAACGTAATGAGTTCCCCCGAGCATCTTGCTGCCCCAATCGGCCACACGCTTGCTGAGTTCTCCCAATATGCGTTAACTTGTTAATTTTAATCTTGGTTCGAGGAGTTTTCTTTGCTTTTTGTTTTGGTAGTTCAGCCCCAATCTGCAAATGCGACAACTAAGGCTTTAACTGACTTAGTTAAACATACTGTGTAAACCCAGACTATACACAGTGACCATATGTCCCCTCTTATAAAGGACAGTCCTTTATTTCAGAAAGCGGCCCTTTAGATGTGTGGCACGGTAGCATAGAAGAGCAGGATAAACATTATTACAGTACATCAATCCTTGTCTGCAAGGCACCTGAGCTTTATTTTTTGAATTTTGTAGAATGTTTTCCCAATGATCTTGAGGTTTTAGCAACTGAGTGGTTTTTAAAAAAAATTAAGAAGGCAACCACAGCTGGGATTGCTTGTTTGCTTGCTCGCTTGCTCACTCATTCATTCATTCATTCATTCATTCATTCATTCATTCATTCATTCATTCATTCATTCCGCAAGCTTGATTTCTTGCCTCAGTCCTAAGAGATTCTGGGCAGAGAGAAATAGAGGAAAACACAATACCAAATACATAAAATAGGAGCTCATAAACAGATAAGTAACGCTGCTAAAAGCAGCTAAGGGTGGGCTGAGAACATGCTTGAACAGAACGGTTTCTAGTTGCTTGCAAATGTCGCCATATGCAGGGTTTCTCAAACTTGGCAACTTGAAGACACGTGGACTTCCGCTCCTGGCATTCCCCAGCCAGCATCTGGAGGTGGCTCCATTACTGTTGTTAACATCTGCTGTTCTCTCTTAGTCTTGTGATTTTTAAAATTTTTAATAATAATCATTTTTATATGCTTATTATTTTATAATTTTGATGTATGCCGCCCAGAGTCAGTTTTTCATGGGATGGGTGGCCATGTAAAATTTATTTATATATATATATATATATATATATATGTGTGTGTGTGTGTATAAAAACATAAAATAAAGTTGCAAAGTTTGAGAAACACTGGATTAGAGGATCATCAATGCACAAAACAGCAGTGTTTACCCTGGGAGTGTGTGTGTCAAAAACTGGTGGATAATGGGTATATTGTTGTGATGGAAGCCCCCCCTTTTGTATGTGTGTCAGATGCAGGTGCAAAAGGGGCGGAGCTTCCATTGCAATGCCACACCTACCATCTTGCAGATTTTGGACACCTCCCTTGGAAACCCACATCATAGCAGTTGGAAAAGCTGTACAGGTAGTCCTCATTTAGTGACTGACTTGTTTAGTGACTGTTCACAGTTACAACAGTGATGAAAAAGTAACTTTGCAACTGGTCCTCACATTTATGTCTTTGCAGGTCTGTAAAGCAAAGGAAAGCTGAAGTCAGATCATAAAATCATGTTTCACTTAGCGACTGCTTCATTTAACGACTGAGTTGTTAGTCCCAATTGTGGTTGCTAAACGAGGATTACCTGTATTGCTGCTGTGGTCTCTAATGGCTGTTTCTTTTATAGGTAGAAGAAATGTACTCGGTGGTGTGCAAAGATAAAAAGAAGAAAAAAGCCCAAAGTCCTGAAGGAGCTGGTGAACAGAAAGCCCCCCAAGCAGAGGCGAGCCCAGGACCCTGCCAGGGGGCAACGGTCAGTCAGGAGTCAAATGGCATTGCAAGTTACCAGTCCTCATCGTTCCCCGCCGCCACTGAGCCTTGCTATCAATCGATCCATTGTGAACCCCGGACCAAGGCCGCAAGCCAGCCGGCTTCAGAGCCCGCTTACGAGACCGTAGAGACTTACTGGCACAACGCGAAGAAAAACCCGAAGGCGTCGAAGTGGAAGACGGTGGCCGAAAACCTGTACGAAAGCATCGACCAGGTGGCCTTTCAGGGGCAAAGCCGCGGCAGAGCATCCCATCTCAAAAGCTGACTCTTGGCGTGGCGTTTCCACGGGTCCGAGGGCCTGCGTCCCGCCTGGTGAAAGGAAGTATTTAATCTTAATACTGAAGCTCCTAAGTCTGAGGTCAGGAGAAATCAGAACTCAACTGCAGGACGTGCCGTGAAGGGACTGTGAACCGCTGACGGCTGCCCGACCAGACTTGAGAATGGTTGCGTGTCTCTGATAAGCTTTCCGCATGTGTATCACCCTCCTCGTGGCAGCCTCTGTGATTTGGGCAGCCACTTGCCCGACCTTGGGCTCGCCCTCCTTGTCTCTGGTGGCTGGGGAGGATGGGGGTTGTAGTCCAAACGCCTCCAGAAAGTGCCAGGTGGGGAAGGTTGCTCCAAACGTTTTTGCTTCGTCTGCTTCGACAGGCTTTTCTTCTTCGCCGCGTCTGATCCGTAAAGGAGTCGGCGTTTCCCTGCAGTTGCGCGCGTTCTTCCCAAATAAATATTAAATTACAGACCGAAGGAAACAGAGTCAGGGCTGGAGAGGGGGGAGTGGGGGGCGCTGCAGCCCGATTGAAAAGGTGAAAAGTCATGTTGGGGAAGGAAACTTATGCTCAAACGCCGCTGAGTGAAACCTCAGTGCTGAATGAGAATCCCGAAGCTGAAAAGTTTGCAGATGGTGAGAGACACGATATCTACCACTGCTTTATTTTTGGAACGAATGTTTCCAGCAACACCAGACGGTCACCGCTGTCTCAGAAAAGACATTTAGGAGCTTGAAAGCTGCAGAATGAGCCAAACTGCACTCGGGACAGAAGGGTTGTCAGAACAGACCAGTGTTTCTCAACCTCGGCAACTTTAAGACGGGTGGACTTCAACTCCCAGAATTCCCCA